GAGGGGTGCTGGTGCCTATCTCCAGCCGTCTACGGGCGAGAGGCGGGGTCCACCCTGGACAGGCCGCCCGTCCATCGCAGGGCATAATTGGACTGTTTTACTCTGGAGAAATCAAATGGACAAAGGAAAAGAAAATCTGACCTTTTCAGGATTCCATCCGCTGGTCTAAATACATCGTTTTCTTGCCCCAATGACAATCTAATTGGTAAATTCCTAATTAGTAGTGTATCAGGCAGGACCCGGATACTGCACTAAAATTGTGGTATCGGTATCGGTGATTACCAACAAATATTGAGAGCATAAAGTTTATTCAATTATTGTCACCCATTCCAGGTAGGCAGTAAAAAGTTCTACTGGATTCACTTTGTATTAGTCTTTTTCCTGCTTCATAAAGGTAGGCAGCAGCTTGATAAATCCATGATGGCAATTATTTCATTATTAAATCCAAGTAGTATGCAGTTTAATATATATATATACATATATATATATATATATACACACACACACACACATCAATTTCAAACAGATGGTATCGGTATGTTATCGGCCGATATTGCACAGCCAGGTATCGGTACTGGGGCCATAAAATGGCAACAGTGCAACACTACTAATTAGTAACAGTCCAGGTGTGAATAAAATTATATTCAGGAGATGAAAATATATTTAATTTTTTTAATTTGGTGACGTCTATGCCTTTCCTGTGTCCTTGAAACTTTGTTTACTTGAAACTTTAATTTTGTCCCAGAGAAAAAGAACCATAAACAACAATGTTGTGAGGCAGTAATAGGAAAAGCCCAGCTGGTGTTGTTTTGGGTCAAGGTTGTTTAATTATTGAGCTAAAATAACCTTTGTGGACAAAACTATGTGGCTGAAATTCTTACAGAAGCAAAGAAAAAGTTGTAGTTTCACTCTGCTGCCATTAGGAGGTGGTGTAGGTTAAAGGCTTAATGTATAACCATCAATATAATAGTTAAACCACCTAAGCATCTGCCCTTTAAAAATAACAAAGTTGTTGCATCAAAAGGCTAAATGTTAGTCACCAGTTTAAGGTTATATATAACCATTTAGCTGCTGTGTTTGCTAAAGGGACCAAACAAGTTTTGGGTTATTTTTGCAAAATAACTGTCTCTGTGATGTGACTGACAAAGATATTATTTGTCAAGATAAAATGCTTAAAATATAGAGGACCAAAATGGTAACAGGACAGAGGAAGTTGCATGATGGATAACTTAATAATTATAAATAGTTTTAATGATGAAACAAAGACCTTACAGTTACAGGAGAGAGGAACCAGGATGAGAGGACCAGTAAAACCAGCAATGAGTCAGAGAGGTTGAATACTGTGGAAGTACTGAGACATGGAAACCAGGGGAAAACAATCCACAGCATCAATGGTAGCTAAGTGGGAGCAAAGCTTTGGGTTGGGAGAGACCAATAAGACTGGACTAAGAGCTGGAAACAGAACCCAACAAACACAGCTCTGATAAAAGCAATCACTCCAAGTCAATGGAATAATGACATATATTGGACCTCTGTCTTTGCTTTTTTTCTTCTAAAGAAGAAGATCCCAGATTTATCAAAAGATAAGATCAGGTACGTTTTTCTTTTGTAAAAATTAAATTTACACCATAAGCAAGATGCAACCAAATATTTTCCCAGACCAATTTGTGCTGCACAACGGATGTGCAGAATTAGACACTTCCCACTGTTACGTATTGAGCTGATTGCTGAAGCTACAGTGGACTCTGACCCACACAGCAACAGCGCTATAAGTCCTAAGGTGTTTGTGCAAAGAGCAGCCAGAGACAGTCTGTCCCTAGTCTCTACATACAATGACAGTGAGGCCAGTGCAGCACTTTGAGGAACTGGACAAACTTGTAAGTACATTTAAACATCCAACAGTACAGTAGTTTTATATTTTCTGAATTAAGCATTTAGTTTATAGCAAACAAAGTTTCTCATTTAGGTTTATTGTTGAAGCATTTGGTATTCTAGAATAAAGGGTAACTGACTATTAATGGTCTCTGGAAACCAAATTATTTGTTGTACTTATATTACTAAACTTTTTTTTTTATGTTTTAATCTGATTGTACTGACCTATAAAAGTTTATTGCAAATATTATCTTTGAAATTGTGTGAATTTCTTTCTATCAGTAGGACTCAGCAAAAAATCTGCAAGAAAATATACAAAAAAAAAATCATAAAATATGATAAATTACAAAAGCTTAATGTTTTTCAAGCCTTCTTTCCTCAGACCTTGACTAGCTTCACCGAAGCAACAAAAAATTGCATGTGATGAAACGATTATCTGTTACATACAGTTAGTAATGCCACATTAAACTTAAATGATCATTTAGACCATGAGAGATAGCTGCACCCATAAAACCTTCAGGTTTATTGATCGACTATCCAAAGCAGCATCTCAGAAACAGTGAGAGATGTATTGCTCAATATACGCAGGAGGATTTTTAACTCACAGTATTCAATCTAATTCTATGTTATCAGTTCTTTCAGGGCCAGTAGTTAAAGATACACCTGGAAAATATTTAGTTCTGATAATGAATAAACCCAAACTGATTTCCTATACAAGTGTAATTTCTAAAGTGTTTAAACACATTCTTTCAGAAAGATAACGAGTATTTAATAACTAGTATCTATTTGGTTTTTAGAGGCATGTTTCAGAGGCATCTGTTATAATAATAATAATAATTGATCTTTATTGATCTCACACTGGAAAAATGTATCTCTGCATTTAACCCATCCCCTTGGGGAGCAGTGGGCTGCCATTGTGCGGCGCTCGGGGAGCAGTGTGGGGTTGAGGGTCTTGCTCAGAGACCCAGACTGGAGGCAGTGGGGATCGAAGAGGGTGCTTGCAACCTTCTCAGAGGACAAGCGGACTGTTGTTGGAAGTTCAGATGCTTCCAAAGCATGAGACAAAAACAAAACAGCAGAATTTGCTTTCAATTTGCAAAACAAAGGAGTCCCTGTTTATTAAATTAGGATTTAACATTTCTGGTACTCGCATAAAACTATACAAGACAATGTGAAATAATCTCTCCTGTTTTTTTTCAGTTTGTAACTGTATGATGTTTTTATTAAGCTAAAGGATTTAATGACAGTTTGCACGATGGGGAACCCCATCCTGAATAACATTGTTCTGACTGTGGATCACCAGGAGCCCCGCTCTCTAGTTGGTCCTCACACATATTATGGTGCCGCTAACGGCTACTGCTAAATCAGTTAACTATTAGCTGGTTATTAGTTATCTTACTTTGAATTTTGCTGTATTATTGTAAATAGTCCCAGATTTCTTTGGCAACCAGTATTAAAACTTAGACACAGTTACTTCTCATTAGGACGCCCTTATATTTATGAGATTTTTTGTTGCCTTAGAAGGTTTGATAAGCTTTATTAAAAGCATCGATGCAGTAAAATACACAAGGACATCCTGTAGGCTCCTGCAAACCCACAAAGTATGGGCTTAAAAGATTTATTATGGTCCTGATATCATCAACCTAATCTAAGAGCAAATTAAAACAAATTACAGCATCCAGTCCCCTTGTAGAAAGAGGGCGTCTGCTGAGTGCACCATGTGTTTGAGCTACAGATCACATTTAGTTTGCACAATTTTTTCTAACTTTTAAATGTTACATTTTTATCTTTAGTGTTATATAAGTAATTTCCCTCTGGGATCATTAAAGTATTCCTGATTCTGATATGTCTACCAGTTCTACTACTGCTGCCAGTACAGTTTTACCAGTTTTAACCAAATCAAAACCTGTGAAGAAGTGGGACACAATAATTGTGGTGCTACATTTTGTTCAGATTACCACCATTTACAGATGGAGGAAGACTTTTTTTCTTGTGTTCATCATTTACTCAACTTCACTGTTGAAAAGTACCTTGCTCTTTTTTCCTTGCACTTGTGTAAATCAGTTAAAGCTTTGATGAGAGCATAGAGGTCTGTCTGTTAAGTCCAGGGGTCTGAAACCTATTAAATCCATAGAGTGTTTTAACCCTTATCCCAGCGACATTAAAGTGGTTTAGAATACGGTTTCTTAACCTTGGTCCTCAGGACCCACTGTCCTCCATGTTTGAGGTGTTTCCCTGCCTCCAAACTCCTGACCTGAATGAAAAAGTGATTAATAGATTTTAGCATTTGATGGCTGCTGAAAGGGTAATGAAATCATTTGATTCAGGTGTGCTTTAGTAGAGACACATCTAAAGCATGGCTGATAATGGGCCCTGAGAACCAGGGTTATGAAACCGAGCCAAAATATTACATTATCATAAAATAAAACACAACTAATTATTTTTGTTGAATATCTGCGTTAGAATATGTTTTGCCATTTTATTTAACAACAATTAGTTTGTGTTTTTTAAGTTTCTAACCCATCCATCCATCTTTTCCTGGTTAGTCCTGTCAGGGTCGCGCTGGGGCCGGTGGGTATCTCCGGCAGTCTACGGGTGAGAGGTGGGTTGCAAACTGTACAGGTCGCCAGTCCATCGCAGGGCGAATCAGAGAAAAACCGGACAAACAACCATTCATGCACACAATCACACCTAAGGAGGTTGTAGAGAAGCAAATTAACCTAAGAGTCATGTTTTTGGACTGTGGGAAGAAGCCAGAGTACCCAGAGAGAACCCTGGCATGCACGGGGAGAACATGGAACCTTCTTGCTGCAAGGCAACAGTTCTGCAAACTGCTATACCGTGCAGCCCCTAGTTTTGAACCCTTTAACACTAAAAGTAACATATTTGAGTTTCCATATTTAATGTATCATAAATGACACAAATAATAACTAATTTATATTATCAAAATTGGTGGTTTTTATTTTGAATGGTTAAAATAGAGACAAAATATAAGCATGTCTTTAAAAGGAAACATTTATATTTTTTATAGGACATTATTTAAACAATAAACACTCTGTTTACAATCTAATTACAATCAATTAAATTCATTCTGTTAAGAAAATTTTGCTCAAATTTAGCTTTACAAAAACACAAAAGCTTCTAAGAATGGTATTTAACAATACATTATATTAAAAATCATTGGTTGTTCCTTTTATCATGTTTAGCAACCATTAAGAGCCACTGTAGAGGCTCCAAAGAGCCACTTGCAGCCGCATGTTTCAGACCCTTGGTTTAGTTAATATTGTTCAAGTTAATGGAAGTTTGTTTGTATAACATAATTCAGTACAAAGACAATTCAAAGTGCTTTACATAAATCAAACTATAAAATAGAAGGAAAATAAAAGCAGAATAAAAGAAAGTAAAGATAAAAACATGAGTAAAACAAATCAAACTGTTGGACCAACAACTTAAATTAATCATAGCTCAGTAACAGTCAAAGTCAACCCTAATTAAATGGGCTTTTAACTTTGACTTAAAAGAAATTAGGCTTTCAGCACTTTTAAAGTCTTCAGAAAGTTTGTTACTGATCAGTGGAGCATAGGAACTAAATGCTGCTTCTCAATATTTGGTTCTAGTTGTAGGTGTACAGAGAAGGTTTGAACTACAGTAGAAGACCTGAGTGGCCTAGGAAGGTTATCAATTGTTCATCTCATTTTGACAAAGTAAAGCCTAAACTCTAACGGCTTAATAAATCTTCTTATGCAATGTTTTTATGTTCATGTAGGTATGACGGATCGCAGCAGTTGTACATCGTCTTCAGACTGATCTGCCGGCATTATGGCCAATTTCCTGCATCTTCTGGCCTGTGCCTTTGGCCTGGGATCCTGGGTGGCAGTCAACGGCCTGTGGGTGGAGCTTCCCCTCATCGTCAACGCTCTGCCTGAAGGTTGGGAGCTCCCCTCCTTCCTCACAGTCATCATCCAGCTGGCCAACCTGGGACCTCTGCTGGTCACCATCATGCACAAACTGTGCCCGGGTCGTCTTAACGAGCGTGCCGTCATTTACTCCATCCTCTCCATCGGAATCATCTCTTGCATCCTGCTCATCTTCTTTTGGGACAAAACAACTGTTGTGGCAGGGGCGCCGCACAGCACTGCCTTCTTCATCATCACCTTTTTCCTCTCTCTGGTGGACTGCACATCCTCGGTGACTTTCCTACCTTTTATGATGCAGCTTCCACCTAAATACATTACTACTTATTTTATTGGAGAAGGGTTGAGTGGTTTTATACCTGGTGTAATTGCTTTGGCCCAAGGTGTGGGTATGGCAAAGTGCGTAAACACCTCTCAGACTGTAGGAAACCACACAGAGGAGGAAGTGTGGTCCATGCAAACAGAGTATCTTCCTCCAAACTTTTCCACAGAGGTGTTTTTCTCCTTCCTGGCAGCAATGATGTGCATCAGCTTGGTGGCTTTTCTTGGACTAAACAGACTTCCTCGGACATTCGAGCTGTCAACAGAAAACCTTGTGCCCGACACAGTTGGTTCAGTCAGCTCTGGTTTGGAGAACCCAGTAGCAGAGACTGATGGAGAGGAAAGGAAACCTCAGAGGGAAGAGGGTGAAAAGGCTGAACGGCATCACTCCACGTACCAGCTGGTCTACATCTACTTTCTTGTGGTTTGGGTCAATGCTTCAACCAACGGACTGCTGCCCTCAGTCCAGACTTATTCCTGTATGCCGTATGGGAATCTCGCCTATCACCTCTCTGCAGCCCTGGCCTCAGTGGCCAACCCAGTGGCCTGCACCATTGCAATGTTCTTCCAAAACAGGTAAAACATGTGAATATACTGCCAGCAATAGGTTTCCATCTTATTTGAAATAAACTCCAGGTTCCCAGAGTAACGTTTAAACAGGCTTTCAATTCTGAACAGATTAATTTAGTGCATTCCGTTCACTGATAATATCAGTAATGGCAGTCATGGATTTACAAGCCGATGACCATTAGATCAGATCCATCTGTAGGAAGAATAGAGTTACAAAACTGTTAACAAAATTTGTAAAACATTGCTTCACCCTTGTTGCTTACTTTGGGTTTTAGAGCAAAAGCCGTGAGGTATTATAAATCAAATACAGCTGATTGAATTATGATCTTGACAGTTAGCAGTTCTGGGGCATACAGATGTGTAGCAACACAATACCAAGGCAGAAAGAAACCAGCATGGACATGTTCTAATGTTATAATGCCTCATTCAAACAACTGAGCTCTGTCATTCAACAGAATGAAAGATGTTGCAAGAGTGGAAGTACCAAAACATTCATTTTTAGGTTGATGTTGGATGCTTTGAAATACAAAAGACATACAAACTCCATCTAAGATCCTGGTTGACATGATAAAAGTTTAATTGGTGAAAAAAAAGCAAAAAAAAGAAACAACAAAGAACATCAACAGGGGCTTGGAAATGTTGCTAGCAGAAGTATCACCACAACAAATAAGGATGCAGGAATTTGCCAATTGCCCCTTGAAGAAATGCCAAGACGTCTGGTTCAGTGTCATTTGGAGAGGTGAGACCAACTTAGACAATAATACAGAGAATAACTGAGTTTGAACAATCAACCTATAGGTCATATTTTGGGGGCGGTTGGGTTCCTTCTATCAGGCAGTGCTCAGAGTCACACAATCTCACAGGCTGTTCAAACTAGTTCACTTCTTCAAATATCAGGGCTGTTGTATGCATGATCATCTGACCAACGTATATCTCAGACCATCATGAAGTGACTCTGCTCTTTTGACACCCACTGACTGCACTGCTGTTCACTCATATGAGTATGACTAGGGCCAGTTGAGCCATTAGAGCTAATGGTTGTCATAAGTCTGTGATGATCTCCAGAATTTCGTTAGAGGAATCATTTTGGAGGTTTGCCTTTATCACCACATTCTGTGAAGACCTTTCAGCTAATCACCAGAAGCAAAACCGATAATTGAAAAGATGATATTGAGGGTAAAAAGTCGAGCTTCAAGTTTTGTTTACATCAGTATTTTCGAGTCAAAATTTGAGGACACTGACCATCAGATATCCTCTCATGATATTAGTTTATTAACAGAACAACATGTCCATGAACATCAGCAAACCAGTGAAAGAAAACATTAATTCAAAGGAATCACCGTGTTGCAATTACCTGTTGAAAATCCAGACTTCATCCAGATCAAAATGGTGTGCACTGCAAAAAATGTATATCTAAGTAAGACGTTTTTTTTTTTCTTAAAATAAGTGCATTTTTCTTGAATTGAGCAGGTATGTGAGACACTTTGCCAATGGGATAAGACAATTTACATTTAAAATAAGACAAAACAACTGCAGTCTCTTATTTCAAGTGCATAATATCTAATTTTCTGATTTTAAGGGTAAAAACGCTAATTCCAATGGCAGATCATCTTATTTTCCTACTCAAATTAAGCATAAATACACTTATTTTAACAAATGTTTACTGTTTTTGCAGTGTAGGGACCTTAAGATAGATGTACCTAAAATAAAAACAAAGACACTCTTAAAATCTTAAACTAAAAAGAGAACAAATATTTCTCCAAAACAATGTGAGACACATTTCAACACAGTGCAGCTAATGGTGGCGTCACGAGCCACTGACTCACAGGATGCATCTAATTTTTTTCTCATGATGTTGAATCATGAATGTTGCACCAGGACATTAGTAATACATTCCTCATGCTCTGTGGGTTGTGTGTTTGGGTCTCTGTAGAATGGGTTTGGTTCAGACAGATGTTTCTCCACCACATTACTAACCGGGAAGGTTTCTCAGGTTTATAAATCTATTTTATTATAAGCATTTAGTTTAGAAAAGTCCCCACAAAAAAATGCTCCGTTGTCAACAAGTCTCATTAAAGTAAAAATGTTTTAGTGTACTTACAGTAAGAATAAACATTAATCACACCCATGGCAGATTTACATTGTAAATAATTTTCCTCCAACAGTAATGTTGTCCTGATAGAAAAGCAGAGAGGCATCTCTACAAAGATAGCAATAGGATCAATTTTATTCAAAAAAAAAAAAAAGCCTTCTGATCAATCTATGGAAATATTTGTGTTGATGTTACGGAATTCCAACTATTCTTAATTACTGCAGAAAAGTTTCTGCATGTTTCCTCTGGTATTTAAGGATTCAATTCTTTAAAGTTGGAAAGCCTCCTTGTCATCACCCTAATCTGTAGCTCTCTACAAAGTTTCTCTTCTAGATTCAGGGGGGGATTTACCATCAGGCAATACTAGGCAGCTGCCTAGGGCCCCAAGTTCCTGGGGGCCCCATAAAACTCTGTTTCCATGTATGGTTAATACAACTATTCCTTATTTGTGCACATTAATTATGTTTTTGATAAAAAAATCACTCTGATAATATTATGTCTCAGCCCCCCCTTCAGTGTCCACCATATTGGATCAGTCCATTTGCTGCACATGTTCAGAAAGGTCCAAACAGACAGCAGCAAACCATTTGAAAACAAACGATGCAAAGAGCAGTGATGCCAACTTAGCGCTTTAGTCGCTATATTTTGCCACTTTTCAGACCCCTCTAGCACTTTGATTTCTAAAAAGCTCCTAGCGCCAAATCTAGCGACTTTTTTCTGCTACTGGAGACTTTGGAGACAACATCTAAAAGCAGCGAACTCTGCTCTCCAGAGCAAGTAGATTGGTAACTCCGCCTCCTGCTCTCCTCTATCTTGTCTGCTGTCATGATTCATGCAGCTATTATTTCATCCAAATGAAAAAGGGAGAACAGAGAAGCAGATCATGGCTTGTCTACAGTGAAAAGAAGGTCTGGGTTATTTACTTTGGCCGTCGCCATTTTTGAAACACAGGAAGGAGCAATCAGCTAAGTGAGCTTAGTGCTTGGAAAAAATCTTTCATTCCTTTAGAGACAGCATGAAAAGTCAGCTAAGTACAAAACATAGAGAGGAAAGCAAGAAGAAAAGGTTCAAGAAGAGAGGGACAAAACCTTGAACAGATAATGGATGTCTATTCTATTAACATTTCTCTATCTGTAGAATGGAGCTGTTTTATGTCTTCTCAATTCAGAGGGCCCCCTGCCTGTCTTTGCCTAGGGCCCCACATTTGCTAAATCCGCCCCTGTCTAGATTTAAGAAGAAGCTTTGCCTGGCCCACTCCAAAATATCAATCTTTGTGTTTCTTCCTATTATTATAATAATAATTTAGGAATTAGCTATGAGTACATGAATATTCCATTTGTTCATGATTAAACTTGGAGAGTCTTCTTTAGGTGTCTTTCAGGAGATTAGATCCACAAGTGTCAATATTTCTTTGGGGAATTTTATGGGACAGACAGTTAGAAATTATTGCACTCTTGTAAAGGTAAAAAAAAAATTAAGTTTTTTAAAAATTCATAAATAAATAGCTACAAAGTGTGGTTCAGCTTTTAGAGTGAGCGTGAAGCTCTTGTCAAAGATTTTCAATTGGAGTCAGGTCTGGACTTTAATTTGCACAATAGGAAATAAATATTCTGCAACCTAAATGTTTAACTTGTCCTGCTGAGAGATGAACCAGTGGCCCAAGTATTTTATGGCCTCCAACAGCTTTTCTTCAATGATTTCCTTTTATTTACCTCCACCCGTCTTCCCATGAACTTGTATCAGCTTCACTGGAAAATATCTAAATCTAGATAAGTCATTTTTTCTTAAAATAAGTGTATTTGTTCTTAATTGAGGAGGTAAAAGAGACATTTTGCCAATGGAACAAGACAGTTTACATTTAAAATAAGAAAACCCAATTGCGTTGTCTTATTTCAAGTGTATTTTATCATAATATCTTATTTTAAGAGCAAAAATACTCATTCCATTGGCAAATCATCTCATTTACCTACTCAAATTAAGTGTAAATTCACTTAATTTAAGAAGTTTTTACTTATTTCTAGATAATTTTTCCAGTGGGCCAGAAGTTTTTCCACACGATGACAATACAAATACTGTGCCTTGAATTTATGGGTTATCAATTCATTTACGAGGCACAGTATCTTTTGCACTGTCATTCAGATAAAATCTAAGTCAAACTTTAAAAGAAAAGAAAAGCTATTTTCAATGTTTATCCATAAAAGCAGACTGCATCTAAAACATCTCATTTGTATTCAGGTCTCTGATATTTCTTGGCATGCTGACTGTGTTGGGGACAGGCTTTGGCAGCTATAACATGGCTATGGCAGCTATGAGTCCTTGTCCTTTGCTTCATGGGTCTGCAGCAGGAGAGGCGATCATTGTGAGTAAAGTCACTGAGTCATTGTGACAAAGTTCAATTCGTGCATCATGACTGATGACCTTACCTTCTTGAGTTTTAATTGTGTCACTGTGTTCCCACTTAATCTCTGAGATAAGTATATGAGGCAGTCCTTCTGTTTTATCTCCACCAGGTAATCTCATGGCTCTTGTTTACTGGGACTCTGTCTTACGTGAAAGTGATGGTTGGGGTTATCCTGAGAGATCGGAGCCACAGCGCCCTGGTCTGGTGTGGAGCCGCGGCACAGATGGGTTCACTGGTCGGCTCCGTCACCATGTTCCCCTTAGTGAATGTTTACCAGCTCTTCAAGTCAGGAGATGTCTGTAACACTCAGTGTCCTTCGTGACAGTGGGTCTAGACTCTCAGCTAAAGATGATTTGTGCTTTGGGATGTTTGTTTATTTAATTATTTTTCCAGCAACAAAATAAAACAATTGAACGCCCAAAAAACTGAAAATATTGAGTGATTTTTCTGAGGGTATCATAAGAATCTCTAATTTATTAAGATTTTGTACAGTAATTAGAGATATTTATTTGACATAAAAAACAACTTTTCTTTGCAGAATTCTGTAAAGAAAAAAAAAAGTTTTTTAAATTTTTATCAGTGTATTAATTGTATTAATGTTTGCCATTGTGCAGGGAACATCTACAGCCTCTAGACAGAGAAAGACTACAGCTTAGAAAGGAGGAATCCTACAATCTTTTTATTTTTGGCCAGCAGATGTCACACCCAGACTTCTAAAACACTCCAGTTTACAGCTTTCTGCACAAGAGTACACTAATGCACACACTGCAGATAAAGTGAAATGCACTGATTTGTTTCAACTTTGACCTGTAATCTCAACATTTTAATTTCCTTTTCACTGTACAAGTAAATAATTCTAACCATTCTACTCCAAAATGTATTTTTTTTTCACTTAGTCCTTTATTTTGCTTCTGATTCTCATTTTACTGACATCTTAAACAGTGTATGCAACCAAGGTAAAAAAAAGTTTCTTTAATTTTAAGTACATTTTTTTACAGGACTTTTTATGATTTTGTTGTAAGATAACGATTATTTAAATGTAGGAGTTATAATCATGATAATAAAAAAGGATATTTGATTTTCCAGCTACACATTTTAACACCACCCTACATTTATACTAATCTTTATTAGAAAAATGAATGAAAGAGTCAAACAAAGGCAAACTTAAGACATAAATAAATTAAATTTAGAGCCCAGATTGGAAAATCTGCTAATAATTAGGACTCTTCAAAGCATGCTTTTTAGCTAATTATCTGCAACACATTTTAAAGTTGTTAAGATGTTGCAGAAACCCTGGTTTAATTAAATAGTTTATTATAGCAGCTGCATGGTCATAAACTTGCATTTTGAAATATTTTAACATTATTTTAATGATAAAAGTTTAGTTCACTCGATGTTAGGATGAGAGCTTTTTCGGAAATCTTGGTCAGAGTGTAATACATATGTCTGTTAATAGGTCAGATATCTGTGTTTATAATTCTACAATGATGCTAACCAAGCTAACTGCAATAAAATCTAATATAAGATGGTCCATCGTTTTGTTTTCACTATATCATTAATTACCTGTTTTATAATGACTACTGTCTACCAAAGACCTCCATATCTGTTTATGTATAATGATCACTCAAACATAAAGGCTACAACATATATCTAGGATAAATCAGAGTAAACAAAAACTAGTAAAAGCGGAGTAAAATTCTATATTTGATTGAAATTTTGTCACCAAATTGAATTCAGTGCATTTCCAATTCCAGTGGGTCATGGTCATCCTTATATAATTGAAATCAACTCAAGCTAAACTACAGAGAAGCAGATTTTACATAAGGAAACCTTAACTTCACTGCAAAAAATGGAAATCTAAATAAGTAATTTTTGCTTAAATTAAGTGCATTTTTTATTGAATTCAGGAGGTAAGTGAGACACTTTGCCAATGGAACAAGACAATTTACACTTAAAATAAGAAAAAACAATTGCTTTGTCTTATTTCAAGTGTATATTATCTAATTATCTTATTTTAGAGTAAAAATACTCATTCCATTGGCAGATCATCTTATTTGCCTGCTCAAATTAAGGGTAAATACACTTCATTTAAGACATTTTTTACTTATTTCTAGATGTTTTTTGCAGTGAATTGCTGACATGACTGCAACAAGTTGCTGAAACACTGATATGCCAATATTTGCCTATGTGTCTGAGAAATGAATAACTATGTTTAAAATATCAAAGATCAAACTGAAACTATTGTCTTCCAACCTTTGTTAGACAAACACAAACTGAAATGGTCTTTTTATGTTTAACACCAGTCATGTAAATGTCAAAAAAATACAATAAAAAGGCAGATAATGATAAATTCTAAAGCTAGAGGAATTATTCAGTGAAACATCTGAAAGATGGTGCTGCCATCCCTTCAGGGAGGTTGGAGGGTCAACCATTGGGACCAAAGGGTGGTTTCCTCTCAGCAGCTGTTCTCCGTCCCTTCCCTTCAGAGGAAAGGGAGAGGTTCCCTGTCCGAAGGTCTGTGGGGGAGCATGAGGGGGGTTGGAGTGGAGGGCTCTAATTACTGACGCTCAGCGGGGGCCGATGGCTGTTGCTCCTGCTGCTGGTCACTTGGGAGCTTTACTGACCCCGACACAGAGTAAAAACAAAAAGATTCGGAAGGCAAAACAGGGCCACAATTAGCCCTCTGCAGCCTTCAGGGCCCGAGATCAGTGGAGGAGAAGCACAGATGGGACTTTCTCACTTGGATTTGCTGAATCCACATTGCAGCGTGTTTAAATCGAGCAGAAATCACTGCACACGGCTGCTGATGCAAGCTTGCAGACACGGCTGAAAAGAAATCTTAATCAATTGACATAGATCTATCAGTTTGGTTTTAAAATAAACCCTCAAATAAACCATCTGATCACCTTAAGAGTGTTTATAAGACCTGCTTCTCCTCAGTGACCATGACCTTGGATGCTTGTGTGCAATCAAAGGGATTTTCTTTACGCTTGATTAACTAAACTCCTTGATTGGCTCTGAGCCTTTGTGTGTGTGGAAATAACAAAGCAGGGAAAGAAAAGTGTATCATTTCCCTTGGAGTGTCAGATGGTCCCATCGCTGCTCCAGCTGGTCAGGAGGGGCCGTGGCCACCTGGATGCCGGGTCCTGGTCCTGTGAGATCCTGCAGTCTCCTCTGCCATGTGAAAACTCCACTTACTACGCCACTGAGAAGTCCATCTGCTCAGGTCGACACCTCCCTAAGAGTCCCCCAGCCCTCAACACAAACAAAGCTCCCCCTCAGTCCCCCACTCTCTCCATCCTTCTCCATCCAACCACAGTGCCTCTCAGCTAAAAGAGTAGCATGTCGAATGGAAGAAGGATTTATCCTTCCTCTAACTGGATAAGGGAATAAATTTGCAGCCGAGTGATGCAATGAACAGAGGAACCCACCTGCACTCCTGCAGCATGGCTGTTGAATAGACAGATGTGTCATCTATGCGTGACTTTGCATTATGCTTCTTCTGAGACACAGCGCATCAGTTCACAGAACCATCACATTACAGCATTTGTAAGCACAGCCAAAAAGAAAGGGTGAATTTTTTTTTTTTTAATAGAGCTAAACAGTATTTCCAGTCTTAATCATTATAACACTGTAAATGTGTGCAGTAAAAATAATTGAACTTTATTGATCTCACATTGGAGAAATTCAACTCTGCATTTAACGCATTCCACCTGGGGGAGTGTAACGGTAAAGGATTGCTTGCATATCTAAATTGTTAAGGGATTTTTCACTTTAGTGATATTATTGGTCAGGCGGGTTTCATATTTGCAAAACAGTATCTTAACCTGCGCGAATATTTTACATAATAAAACAACAAGGTTTAAAAAATGTAACGACTCATAACAAAAGCCGTTCTTAAAAGCTTTCCACATCAACCAGGCCCAGTGGTTTAGACTAGCATAGACTGTATAACTGGTAGTGAGTCTTTTGCATCACTGTGGAGGAATTACTGTAGAAACAAATGCATATTTAAAATAAAAAGCCACCACCAGAGCGACCTCGTGTCAAGCAGATCACAGCTTTTACCTAAAGACAATCATTTGCCAAAACGCTAAAAGGATTATAAAGTTATAAATCCCTTAGTGTAATTCTCAACAACTGGTCATGTTCCTTCTCCTGGCCCAGGAGCATGATATAGTTCCTGGAAATTACCATCCGAATGTTTGACTATTGTGATATATATATATATATATATGTATATATGTAGACTAAACTCCACCTCACCCATCGCGGGGGGGTCTTCCCCCCTTTTTCCTCTACCAGAGGCCTGGGAGCTTGAGGGTTCTACTCAGTGTCTTTTTTGTTCCTAGAGCTGCTCTCCTCTGGACTGAGATGTCTGATGTATTTCCAGGGATCTGCTGTAACCACTCCTCCAGTTTGGGGGTCACTGCCCCGACGGCCCCAATGACCACAGGTGCCACTGATGCCTTGACCTTCCAGATTTCTCCAGCTCTTCTCTGAGCCCCTGGTATTTCTGTAGTTTTTCATGTTCTTTTTCCTGATGCTGCAGTCACTTGGTATTGCTATGTCAACCACAATGGCTTTTCTCTGTATTTTGTCCATCACCACAATGTCTGGTTGGTTTGCTATTAGCATTCGCTCCGTCTGTATCTGGAAGTCCCACAGGATCTTGGCTCGGTCATTCTCAACCTGTTTCCCTCTTTGACCTTGGTTTCCAAACCATACTCTGCACAGATGTTCCTGTACACTATTCCATCTACTTGGTTATGGTGCTCCATGTAAGCTTTCCCTGCCTGTGTCTTGCATCCTGCAGTTATGTGCTGGATTGTCTCAGGGGCCTCTATATATATGTATATATTATATACTTTTTTAAAAGACAATGTAATCAATAATGCAATTCTTACAAAAAGTAAAACTTTACAAAATCCATCATTATTTTTTTGGTTGATAGATGTTCTTGCTGTTATTTTTACTCAGCTGCAGTTTTAGTCTTAGAACTTTGCAGACGAAACTAATTAATTTGTTTCTATCTCATTAAGATGTCACAAGATCTCTGACCTGTACTCATATATGTAAGCCTGCAGTGCTTGAGATGTAGCCCTGGGTTCCTTCATCAGCCCCTGGATAAGTTGTTGAAGCACCCTGAAGTCTTAAATTTGTTTCTGGCTAATATGAGTTGTTAATGATGATTCTTCATGAATTTTTTAGTTATTCAGCATTCCCAATGTACCGAAACTGAATTTCCCTTTAGGTATGAATGAAGTATTTACAGAAACTATCTAATTAGGTGATTTCTTGATTCTGAAAGCCAGACAGCCACCAGACCTAGGAATGGAATGAGAAGTTTCTTGCATGATGTAAAAATAGCATTTTGCATATTTACTCAGGTACAGTTTTAAAGCTAAGTCT